GCTTTTCATAAGTGTGCAGTTCTTTTCGACGCGGATTGTCGTTGGTGTACTGTCAACTGTGTCATGCTTTGACAACGCTATGTTTAACAACGGCAGTGATATTTGTGCATTCTTCTAGGATATCTCGGTGATTTTCGTCAGTTTCCTACCTCATCCTTGTTGTGCATTGTAATTTTCCTCTAAGTACGCACTGTTGCATCCGGTAAAGTTGTGACGGTGTTCGTTTCTCCCTTCGTTGATGCTGTTATCCGTTTCGCTGAAGTACTCTTCATCACACTGACAGGGAATACAGTAGACCCGGAGTTATGGTTTCGTTAATGTTACACTTTCGATTTTGACATTCGTTAATTGACTCCGCAGGATTATATCAGACTTGAACTGAATTTTCGAGCAAAGAGGTAAAGCGATCTTTGCGAGTTTTTATTTCAGGCTGCGCACGTAAAGTAGGCGTTACGTTTCCACTAAATTCACTGTTTTCACTTTTCTTGTGCGTACGGACTTGATTCACTTCATTTACTGATGAATCATTTACACAGCGATTTCGATAAGCACTGTTTGCGAATATATTAAGTAATTCAGTTTTTTTTAAATGCCATGTTCATCAGAACTTTGTGTTAGACATCTGTGGACAAGAATTTTAATGATGCGACCTACCATATCGCACGATTTGAAGTCATAGCAACAGATTCGCCCGCGTCAGCTTTTGCTACACCTCTGTTTTATAGCAGGACTGGAGAATGGGAGTTTTAATACCCGTGATCAAGATGACAGAGGCATCACCTTATTGAGCCTCTGGGTAGAAGTCTCTGCAAAGTTGCTAGAAAGGAGGTACCGCCGAATACTTGACTTTAAGATGCAAAACGACTTGTGTCGGTTAAGGTGAGGCCGAAATACTTCTAAACAGATCTTCGCCTTATGCCAGATTGTTTAGAAATCGTGGGAGATCGTTCATCCGATTTGCATGTGCCTTATTCACCTGGAAAAAACCCTTACCAGATCCCGCGCAACAATCTATGCGCATGCCTGAGAGCATATGTTATCTGTGGCTAGTTGCTGCGGGCCATCTAATCACTATATGCTGATAGCAGGTGCTGCGTGAGAGTTAATGGCATTAAATCGAAGCCTTTCAGCGTTGACACTTGTCTTTACTAAGGCTGCGTTCTGTCCCCTCTCCTATGTATGTTGTACATGGACAGAATGGCCAAGCACAGCCAAGACGATGAGTGTATCAGCGTGGGAGATGTCGAGAGGAGAAGAGGTTTGCAGACGACCTTGTTTTATTAGCATCTTCTGAAAGTGATCTACAGCGCTCCCTGGAAAGGTCCGCAGCCGAGTGCGTGCGGTGAACGCATCTAAAACGAAAAGCCTAGTGCTTCCTCGTTCTCCTGACCGTTGCTTTCTTCTGATTAACGGAGAGGCAGTGGAGCAGGTAGAGAAGTTCAAGTACCTCGGAGTCGTATTTACTGGTGATGAAAAATTTGAGGAAGAGATAGACTGGAGAATTGGAGTAGCCAATGGCGTTCTGCTGAACTAGAGCTTCAACCATTGTGACTAAAGCAGAGTTGAGTCTGAAGACTAAGTTCTCGATATTCAACTCGTTCTGCATTCCGATGCTTACCTACGGACATGAGTCGTGGGATCTGGCTGAAAGATTTAGATAACAGGTACAAGCGGCTGAAATGGCTTTTTCTGAAACGAATCGCTGACCTTAACGCCTCTCCACATGGTCCGGTGGATATGGTTTGTGCGCAGCAGCTGCTTCTGCAGGTTGACAAGTCACAGCTGTGATTGTTTGAACAGGTGTGGCGAATGCTTCCATAAAATAAGGCAAAACAGCTATTACTTGCTCAAGCCACCGACCGAAGACCCCGGCGATGGCGAACAATAACCCGAGCAAGTGTATGGAAGGACTTTGCTCGAAACTTCGGTTATCCTTTGCCGAGGCTGAAACCCTGTCACAGGATCAAGAACGGTAAAAGTGCTGCGTGATGCGTCTGCCCCGCAACCCGAAAGGGTAAGCGGTGACCGAAACTGACTGATTTTGAACCACTGTTTAGATACCGCAGAAATTTCGTGTAGACGACGGTCATTTTACTCTTAAAACTGTTACGGTCACTTATAAGATTTGAGTTAGCTCGAATTAGTGACCGTCGAAAGTGAGGTTGTTTCGCCATTATGGCAGTTTCGAATTGATGGTTGATATGTCAGCGCGATAACGGCGTACATTGGTGGCAGTTGAAGGTTTATTTTTTTTCGCATAGCCATTTTTAGTCAATGCCAATCCGTGTCATGGTGGTTTTCGTTTAGGTACAACGCAGCCGAGATCTTTCTCTGGCAGACGATTCGTTGTTGTTCAGCGAGTCCTGCGCGACATTGCTACCGACTAACGTGTCTGACTTGGATGTTGAGTACGAAAACGACGAGATCAGATCAGCGATGACCACGGTGGCAATCGACATTTCAGGCGAAGCGTTTCGACGCATGATGGCGGCTCGCAGGCGGGGACATTCGTTGCTTACTCCTAGCAGTGCATCGTCTCCGTCGCAGGTGGTCGTCGATCAGCTGCCGGAACCTCGAACGCTTCCTCACCGCTTCGCCGAAAGAGTGAATCGTCGGAGGACCGTCGCTGATGTGGTCTCGTTTCAGGGAGAGACAAGCTTGGCTGAGGACACTGGGTGGTGGCACCATGGTATGCCGAACGGCAAACTTGCGACGGCCAACAATGACATGTTGGACTGTCCGGCAGCAAACGAGTACCTATACGACTTTGCGCCATTTTACAGGAGGCGAACAAAGAAAAGTTTGTTGAACAACGTCGGACAGTTCTTCTCGTTAAGGCATCCGCACAATAAACACAAACAAAAGTCGTCACCGCCGTCGAAATACGGGACAAATGACGCCTTTGTAAGTGAGCCACGCGACGCAGCGCGCAAGCGGGTTACTTCACACAGCGTACCCTCAACGCCATCCGACATTCCAGTACTGGTAACCGACAGCGATGATGTGCAGGTGTCTGCTAGTTCCAGTAACGGCGGTGGCGGCGGAGGAGGAGGTGTCGGTTCGACGCTGAGGAAGTTGTTGAGACGGTCGATCAGTTTCAGGTCTTCTTCTCGACGACTGTCCAACAACCACTGTACTAGCACATCGAAGCCCGTCGCGTCTAATGACGCGGTCATGTTTTGCACGAACCGGAACCGACTCAGTAACGTTGCAGGTTCGTTTTACACGGACGATGAGTATACCCTTAATCGGACTGACAAGTTCGAAGAGGACGGTGGCGGAACGAAACTGTTTTCAAAGGCTAGCTCCAAGACACGCTCCAAACTTCCCATATCCACCTCGTCTCAGGTTTTTCACGTAGCCACCCTTTTGAGGCAGCAGCCCATCAAACGGAGCCTGAAGAACTTTAATCCGATTCACCGTCACAGCAAAGCGTCTAGCAGCTCCAGGGATTCGGCGTACTCAAGTTGCGGCAAAACGAAAATGAGGCGTCCTTCAATCAATTCCGTCACATCTAACACGTCATTAGACTTCAGTGACCGGTTTGTATACTTTGAATCGGTTTCTGTGTTAACAGTTGCATATTTAGAGGACAGAACGGCTCTTATCGCCAAGGCTACCAGCTTGAGTATCCTGAAGATTGCTTCCCGTACGGCACCGTACCGGTGCACATCTCGTCACCCCGTCTTTTGATGTCAGTTGTACCCAGTCCTCTGTTCGCCAGCTGTCAAAGTGACCATGATACGACGAGATCGAATTTATCATCGTTAGTAGCGAGTTGTAACACTGACCGTAATTCTGCTGACAATCCTGAACGATTCTTCACCTCAGTCCACTGTTCAGGTGATGTCAGTAATTCGCCCACACATACCAAAACCGGTAGCGTGACGCCGCACCAACAGGGTCATGACTTCCGAGGACGTTCGTTTAGCACGCATAGCTCTTCCAGCACGGTAGCTGCTGAACCGTCGAATGAGCAAATGTATGAAAAGGATCGTTCATCGCATGTCCCGAATGGCAATCGTACAAGTACAGATTCTGACTGTTTGGACAAGTTTGCACGACTACGCATCGCCGACCGCCGTTCGGTCAGCGACCACCGTAATCTTGTTGGACATAGATCCCACGATGGTTTGGTGACCAACGTCGGCCGTCTAGATGAAACATCGTCGCCGAACGACGATGCACACGGTGAGAGAATGTCACTGCAAACTTCGAAAATTTACGAAGCTCTTGACGCGTCGCTGCTGTCACAGTTTTTTACCGAAATAAGTGAGGTCAGAAACCCGTCGTCCAGGTCGCTTCCATCTCGCGTAATGGCCGGCTGCGATTCTTCCATCGGCTCAACTAGCCTTTCGAGAAAGGCGACTGACTGCCTTCGTTATGATCCGGTGTCCATGCGACAAACATGCAATGATCATACATCGCGATTTGTTACAAGCAACGCAGTTTGGTTCTGTAACTCTTAAGTTGAAGAATCGTTTACAGTAAAACTCGTTGATCTGACGTTCTTTTTTTAGTGCTGGTGAAAACAAACAAACTTTAGTTCGATTTTAAACCTAGTCATGTGACAGTAATAAACAGTTAGTTCAAAATGTACAAAACTAAGTAAACAGTGTCATCATCATTCGCCTTTGTCGATTCACCGCTGGATTAAGGCCTCTGCAGACTTTCGTTTTCTGCCATTTTCATCCGTCTTCACCAGCAGACCTCCCATCGATCTGCATGTATTCCCAGTGGTCGTTAACTCTCTTGCAATTCAGTCTGATGTCTTTCTGATCAAACGATGGTCGGTGTTTCTTGCATCGTGTCTGCCCATTGTAATTTTAACTTCATTTAAGCAATGACATCGCAAAATTTGGTTTATATGGTTATTCATTCATTCGTCTTCCTGTCTTTTGTTGTTGTTCTGTGTTGCTCAACATACACATTTCCATGCTGCGTTGCATAGTTCTATTTATGAATGGCGGTCTTAGGGTCTACGTTTCTCACTGTTAGTTAACACTAGGAGCACACACACACACA